AAAAATTGTACGCCGGAAGTATTTATAACTGTTGCATGCTAAAACACAATAGCTCTTGGCTATAAAAATGTTTTAAAATATCCATTTGAACGTTGTTTGCGAAAATTTTGCGAGCGTAATACATATATCAAAAACTTTAAAGATTATCAATGATTTGTATGCGCAGAGGGATTGATCGATCGACATTGAATTTAGATCGAACGAGGTCGCTTTCTTTTAAAATAGAAGGATAAACACAGACGGTACATAAACCCGTGAACATGGAAATACCAAGTGCGTGAACTTTCGATCCCCACAAACAAACGATAACATGTGTGTCAGTATTCGGTAGGTTCCGATACAAGAGGTCGATGCCGAGTGTTCTAGTAAATTTATGGGCCGATTGTAGTTACCCGTAAAAACAATACGTCATATAGGTCACGAAGGTATAATCAATTGGTCAGCGTAGTGTGGGATTCCACAAGGAACTATTATTGGACCTTCCAGTAACTTTGAAATTTTTTGTTGCATTATTTCAATATTTTAACTAACGAAAATTGTCCTTGCTGTACATAAAACTAGCAATTAATATTACAAGAATCACGAGGTTTAATTTCAATCAGAATTTTGAAACGACCAATTAACGCTAACACGCGTTCACAAATATATCGCCTCTATCCACAACTATGCGACATCGTTTTCGAAGAGTACGTTTTGTAATTACGCGAGATTACAGACAGGTTGTTTGTTAAGGCCAATAGTGAACGTTTCGACCTTCACATTGCCTGTACTGACCAGAGCCGTGTCGTCACAGCGGCTTTCGCAGACTACCAACTGCTGTGGGATCTTGACTTATACAATATTTTTATGAATGTACGTCTTGCTCTATAAATTGACAAAAAAGACATTCTTATCCTGTCGGCATAACACGGTTAATTGCATGAAAATAATTAGTTTAAACATATAACCAATTATAATTCATATCATTATTCAGTATGCACAAAATCGTATCGTTCATTAAAGATGTCTGCACGTATTAAACTAATAGGATTGCAATCAGCCTACGCATACATTTGGAAGATATGTAAACAGTGAGCCTCTGTTTTGCTATTGCCAATTTACATAAATTAATTTAAGAGGATAGTGCAATGATTATATTTTATTTTAATAGCACTATTAATTGCTTATGATTATGCATTTCTAACAATTTTAATCTTTACTATCCAATAACAGTAATCATATTTCATATACATTTTCTACAATATGCTACGCATCTCTCCACACCAATTTTCTGCAGTTAACTATTTGAAGAATGTTAAGTATTATAATAGCACTGATCGGCACCCGGTGCAGATTGTATGGGCTGCGAGGTTTCAACAACGAGAGATAAATTGCACATCTCACGAGACAGCCTCCACGCCAACGTTATTGAGCTGTTACACAATCATTTTTATTATGTTTATTAAAGAATTTTCCTCTGCAAATAAGGTTTTATCTTACGTCTTTATTCTAGCATTTGTGTTGTCATTATCAAATGTTGGTTAGTATTTTATGGTAACGCGGAAACATGTTTGCGATAGCTAATGTAGAGATGTCATTATCTCTACTGCTGTTTGCACATAGAGTTGTACTTTGTGATCTGACTGTTCCTATTATGTTCATTTATGAAGCTCTATTCAGGGCGAGAGTTGACTTGAATAGAATCTTATGAAGCAAAGGTACTATATTCTAGATAACTGTACCCTCTCATTCTCTGAGTCACAGTGCTTCCTCGTCGCCGGTCGTATCTTCCCTGTCAACGATAACAGATGCCTTATGTTTTAGAATAGTCACTGATCCAATATCTTTATCGGTCAGTAAATTCATTTCGTGTGTACCTATAGTTCTCAATGTTATCTCTCGTGATTCACCTCTATCAGGCAAGTCAAAATGAATAGCTTGTTAATTACTTATTTAATTACTCCATTCTGCTTATCTATCAGTTGTCTGCAACAGGTTTCATTACGTCACTGTGATTTAGTATGGTATCAACAATAGCTATTATTGTACCAATCCATCTATTTTTATAATGACTATACTAAAACAAACAGTTTGTTCGAAGTCTGGAACGTTGACTGTTAAAATGTAACAAATTGGTGAAAATAAATAAATGTGTAGCAGGATTGTGTTTAGAATAAGACGTAGCTACGTAAGCACTGTTGTTCACGGACTATTGGAACTGCTGTGCAAACTCTAACACTTGTAATTTTCGTTCTATGAATCGCGTAAATTTTAGACATGGCCATTTTAGTAGTTTACAAATTCGTATCACAGACCTCGCTTCGTTGACAATAACAAGATCATTTTTAGTATCAGTAATTACTATGACGAGGTATAAAACATCAATATCAAAGTGTGTTGTTCTAAAATGTTTACTCTCGCAATTTTCTTTATAAGTGTGAGTCACATTATTGTTGTTTACTATGTAAATATTTGTAACAACAATATCAATTACATTATTCAGTCCAGTCACTCACGTTTGTGTATCTCGAAATTGTGTTTGTTAGCTTTGACTGCTTCTTTGATCCAGTTACCAAAAACTCGGTAAAAGTCTGACAGTCCAAAAGCGCTCTAGGGAAGACCAAATGGCATCATAAGGATTTTTCACTATCTTGGTCAAAACAATTGATCAAAAACGTGACTGCTTGAAACTTAGTGAACGTGTCGATTTCTGAGATTGGGCAAAATGCTGTTAACGTTGAAAATAAAAGGGATACGACCCTAATTATCGCAATAAAGCTGACCTTATTAGGATTATGCCAGTTAATTGCGAAATGTAGGCGTATTAAACTACAGAACAAAATAATGGTGATGTTAGTTATGTTGTCATCAAAATAGGAGTATTTGTATCGATATGTGTTTGTCAGGGTGATGTCATAGATACAATCGCAGATTTTAATGAAGGACGAAATGAAACTTACTACGTAAGACTGTTATATGGCATTGAGGTATGATTGTATATTCGGCCGTATACTTCAGTCAGTTCACACTGCGATATAATTGCATCGCGTATTATAATTTTATACGAGTCGTTTTGTTGGTCAAATAGACACTAAGCTCGGTTAATGGCGGCATTGTGTCGATGACACAGATTCTGTACACCGACGTCGAGTAACTCGCCATTATTCTAATGATTATACTATTGTTTTAATTTTACTTACGACCATGAACACTTTGGAAATTGTTGTAGTTCGTTGTAGAATGTATAATAAAAATATCAAAATGAATCGCTACAAGACTTTCGAGTGCATGTTAGTCATCGGTACGTAGCAGCTTGTAGCACGAGCCTGTATTTATTATTATCGGGGGGAGTTCTTTCGTTTACTGGAACACTTAGGTAGACTGTATAAATATATGCACAGTGTCGAATTTAGATTATAAACTTAGGTAATGCCGAGTTAGGAACCAGCCTATTGTAGAAATGATAGGAAGAAGTAACAGAACAACAACCAACTTTCTGTAAAATCTTAGTGTAAGCTAATGAAAAAGATTGACATAAATATTTTAATGAAATAAAATGTTAATGTCAATTTCGCTGTCGTATTGGGTAATTTAGTAGTAGAACACAAGACGTGGCCAGTGAGCAAGCATTGTTTCGGCTATGAGTCACGTAACGGGCCACGACAGCATCAATCACACTTTCTGTTACTTCATTGTGATTTAGAGGCTTAGCCACAACAACCGTTTGGAACGTGATTTATTACTACCGTGTGTACGCTGTTTAATAATAGAGCATAAGTGTTCATTGTCCACTAATTGCCGCTAATTGTTATTGATACTTTATCACGTCGACCTAAGGTGTAAATTACAATACATTAATTTGTTCTTATGTTTAAACGCTGGTATTGATCAGAATGTTTGTATTACTTTGTATATTTATAAATTGAGTGACACAGAAAGTAAGACATCAGAAGATAGCGATGTTTTAGTAATTGAAAGAAGGCACGCGCGCGGCGTGACTGCCAGTAAACTCATTGTTATTCGCACAAACAACAAACATAAAGACACAACATTGAAGAGTAAACTTTTATCGTAAAAATGATCTGTAAAGTTCATTGGAATGGTAGAAAGTATTGCCCTGGGCGGTTGTTTCCACAATCTCTAATGGCGACCTGTTGCGTGCTCACGGATTTAGTACAAGCAACAGCTAGTCTGACAGCGGCACAATGTTCCCACCGATAACATGGACTACAATGACGTTGTTGAAGTTATTGTGTTTTTTGTAACACGGTTGGTCAAATAGTGCTAGTGGAATTTACGCACACCTACCCATAGACAGGTGTACCATACTGACGGTACTTGTTACATTACTTGTATCTAACTGACGTCGTACTCATGTACATGTGTGTGATTCATGACGTAAGCACTTGAACGTAATCATTTCTCTATGACTCTATGACTACTGCTTTTGCGATACCTTCGGATATCACGATATCGCGACAACGCAAATTTTCTACGCTTGTTTTTATGACTTTTCTCAATTAAAGTTTGTATGTCGTGAATTCAGTGCATTGTTGCAATCTGACGCAGTAGGACCCATGCATAGCATTGCGCAACGAATAAATATTGACGCGATGACATGCCGTATCATAACCGTGAGAATTTGTCACAGTTGTTATGCAATCGCAGTTTAATTAAACCTGTTCGTGGGTAATATGGAGTTACAAGTCTAATAACCGAGTAATGTTGTCGCTTAACTTGTTGCTAAGTATTTTTAAGATTATTCAAGTTTAATGCCCATGATTTTGCCTGTCTAATAAACGGTGTTGAGTATAGACTCTTGTGCCGTGTGTACAGTACGTAAAATGCTGCGGAAACAAACATGTCAGAAATGTAGTTCCTTAACATTTCTCCGCCATCGCACCAGAGCTATTAGCGTGATACACGCGTCGTATAACCTCTCTACATAACGCAGATTATGCATGAAAATCCGAGGAGCTGTTCATAACACATTATTGATTGTTTCTATTTCTGTCCCACAGATCAGCGGAGCGATATGTTAGAGTGAAATGGCGAGATGTACGCGTTGGGGATCTAGTCCACCTGTCGAACAATGAGCCGGTGCCCGCAGACATGGTGCTGCTACACTCTTCCAACCCTCTCGGGATATGCTACCTCGACACCTGCAACCTCGACGGGGAGACCAATCTCAAACAGAGGCTGGTTGTCCCCGGCTTCAAGGAAAAGGTACTTCTACATCTAAATATTTACCAGTCTTCTAGTAAGGGATTCCAAAAATGCTTACTGCTTTTGCATAACGTTCAGAAATGTGGAAAGAAAGCGCGTACCTAAGTAATTATAAAAGCATGCAGAATATTTTGCTCGTTCAGAAGATTAAATGGCCGTAAATAACAATGAATACCACTACTTATTATAGATTTTGTGAAAGAAAGACCATGCGTAGTTTATATTTTTGTATCAAAGTTATTTTCGCCTTTGCTCTGGTATATTGTGAAACTCGATAGATACAATCTTATAAATCCGTCGTGTTGCTCAAGTGTCACGGGGACGCCGGTGTTATAATTGGATGAACAACATAATGCTGTTTTTAGTTTTTGTTTGCCGCGCGTGTCATGCAAACCGACGAAAAAAGCAGAGCGTGGGAATACTTTCTCCAATACTTGTAAAATATCACAATAGTCGTCGTAGTAGCGCGTCGCGTCCCACTTTAGCAAATCGTTTGTTTGGCCTTAAATGTTTTTATTTTTTTTTCACAGCATTCAGAGTTTAGCCCGATAAAGTTCAGAAGTTCTGTGGAGGTAGAGAGGCCATCTACAAAAATATACAGATTCACAGGCTGTATCTCACACCCAAACGGGGCGCGAGTGCCGCTCACCTCGGAGAACCTACTTCTGCGAGACTGTACCATCAAGAACACGGACTATGTCGAGGGCATCGTGGTGTACGCGGGCCACGAGACTAAAGCGATGCTCAACAATGGAGGACCAAGATATAAATGTTCAAGTTTAGAGAAAAAAATGAACACAGATGTGATATGGTGTGTCTTAGTGTTATTATTTCTTTGTTGCGCCGGCGCAGTCGGTTGCAAGATGTGGTTGGACCAATATTACGTTACCATGTACAAGTATACCCCGTTTATAACGAATGTGAACAAACCTGCCTTCGAGGGGCTGCTCATATTCTGGACTTACATCATAACGATGCAGGTGATGATCCCTGTCTCGCTGTACGTCACGATAGAGATGACGAAGTTGCTGCAGGTGTACCACATACACAACGACATTCAGATGTACGATCCGGACACGAACACGCGAACGGAGTGTCGAGCGCTGAACATAACGGAGGAGTTGGGGCAGGTCGCGTACTTGTTCAGTGACAAGACGGGCACGCTAACTGAGAACAAGATGTTGTTTCGGCGGTGTGCGGTCAACGGAGTGGACTACGACCACCCTCCCGGCCCGCCCGCAGAGCCCGCGCCCGAGTTGCCGCCCATCGTGACCCCCATCACAAAAATCTCTCCGAACAGACGGATGCTACAACACTTAGGCGACAACAATGACGCTCAACACACGCAGAAGGTAACTTTTGAAGTCAATTCGTATTTACTTCTCATCTGTCGGTATGAAATACATTGACACGTCCGCATAACGTTTTAGGTCCGCGAGTTCCTGTTAATCCTGGCTGTATGCAACACAGTGGTGGTCAGCCAGCCACACATTGACACGATGCAGATGAGCGCGTCCAACTCTGGAGAACAGATCTCCACGGGGAAAGCTTCCCGATCGAATGGAACATTGCGATCTAACGACAAGTAAGTTAAAAGTATTTTAATAAGTCAATAAGACACACGTAATAGTACTAATAGATCCAATAATTTGTTTAGGAGAAATTAAACCGACAGATACCAAACAAAAAAATGTATCAAACAAACCGCAATCAAAACTGTAGTTAAATGTTATTAATAGTCTACCAACTAGTCAACAAACACTTTTTTGTTCAACTTTTTTCATCAATTATGATTGAGTTGTTATTTAATTCGTTGTTCTAATTTAGACCAGCCTGTCAAATGTCCTTGAGACTTTACAAATAGGTAAAGCAAGTTTGTACTGTCCCTGAAGGTTTATGTGAGGTTCCTTTTTTATTGAAAATGGTAATGTTGCACTTACTGTCTCAGTTTTAACTAGTCGGACAAAGTATGCTTAGTTCGTAATGGGATTCATAACATAAGAAAAATGGCTGTTACTTGTATATATCTAACTTGTTTAAGGATGAAAACTTCTCAGAGGTTCAAACGAATGATCTCACCAGATACGCTCGACTAACGGAGTCCAGATCGACGACTCCGTCACCGCCGCCGTCCACGGGCTCCCCCCTCAGGCTGCGGCTGCCGAAGCTCATTCTGGGAAGCAAGGAGGACACCAGCACTCCCAGCACCTCCGTCGATCACTCCGCCGTAAGTATAAACAAACGCGAGGCAATTGAGGCCTTACTGGTTACTAAGTGGTTATTACAAGGTTAGGATTTAGTACGAGTTCGTTTTACGTTTGGCGAGATCGAAACAAGACTGAGTTCGGCGCTCGGATTGGTTGGTTCACTGGAGCCGGCCAATTAGCACGCTGAACTCGCTCGATACTCTTACATTACGAATGCAATACTTATTCGTGCTTGGCACTCAGTTCTCTGATGCAGTGTTTTTCAATCTTTCTGATTTCGCGACCCCTTTACAAGTTGAGAAAATCTGGCGACCCCCTTGTGTCATAGAAAGACTAAGAACTAATAAAATTTAATTAAGACTACATACGTTAATGATTTTTTTTCTACTATTTTGGTACCTTTATCAATTATTCAGGTCTACTCTGCAAGAAGCTGCGAGAGTATTGAAAGTAAGTACGAGGTAAGTTGTTAAAGCTACGCGCGATATAACTCGTTGAGTACCGTCCGACCGACCGGTGGTATCACCCAGGCCTGCACAATTGCGGCTTCCAGGAAAACCTCCCGGTCCAGCTGTCTCAGCGCCCAACGTGGATCATATGGGGCCAGTCTGACCGGCGGGTCCGCGGACTCGGTGGAGACGTTTTTCTTTCAGTCGGCGACCCCCCGAGTAAGGCTTCGCGACCCCCCTAGGGGTCGCGACCCACAGTTTGAAAAACACTGCTCTGATGAGTTGGTTCAGTGGAGTCGGCCAATCAGAGCACCAAACACGGTCTCGTTTCGATCTAAGACTTCTGTTAATGATTATGATTGGAAAAAATTCACTAAACTACTAGTTTACAGCAGGACTACTCAATTTGATCAAAAAATATATTAATTTCAATGTTATTGCCAAATGAACAAAGAACGAAATGACATTGTGCTCTTTGCTTGCTCGATTTACATTTAATAAAGAAATATACTTTCTCCAGTCAATCCGCTACGAAGCCGAGAGTCCAGACGAGCTGGCGTTGGCTGAAGCAGCTCTTGCCTACGGGTATGAGTTGCGGTCCAGATCACCTGATGAGGTAGAGCTCGGCATCCGAGGGGAGCTCACCAAGATGAAGGTGCTTAGGGTGCAGCAGTTCGATGCCACCAGGAAATGCATGTCAGTCGCCATGAGGACTCCTAATGGACAGGTTAGTTGTGTTGTAACGGATATTAAGTTTTAGCGCATTCAATTTTAGGTTAAAATTGCTTCGTTGTTGTGGGTTGGTTAAATTGGTTCTGTCAATCGAGACTGTTGCTGAAAGTTTAATTGTAGGAGTAACAATGACGTTTCATCTATATTTTTATTAACCTTTAATACAATGCTAATAAAACTTCTTGACGCATTCGTTCTCGAAACACCTAGTAAGTTTAGGGGACTTTTTGTTTACCGACTTTAAATCGAAATAATCCAAATTAATAGTGTTTTGATAGCGGATACGATTAAGGATCAATGTTTGATAATCAGTAGGGAAACACAACATAAATAAATACTTTTTTCTGATTAGATAAATAAGTAATCTTGAGGAAATTATGGTATATCTATTTTATTTATAAATATTACATATACTATTAGTTATGTCGTTTAATTATCGCTTAATATCATAGTTATCAGTTTAACCGTAATTTCATGGCGTTAAAGACCATTTTTGTTTGTTCGAGTATGTTATGAGTCCGGTGTGTTCCGAATATATCCAGTATTTAAAGAAAAATAACAATCTATGTTTATCTAAACAATAAATTTCACTTTTATTATGCTAGGTTTAAATGTAGTCGTGCAAGAGATACGAAAATATTCCAACATTGCAGTGACCTTCTGTGGATTTTGCCAAAAGTTTTGTTTTGGCAGAAGTGTCCGTATGTACAGTCAGGCACCAAACTAATATTGATTCAATACAGACACCGTAACGATTGGTTGGCTACTGAACCTATCTATGGTTATAACAGCGGCCTTAGTACGAGTTTCTTTTACGTTTAAAGTAATCGTAACGAGTACGCGTTCAGCGCTGTGATTGGCCGGTGCCAATGAACCAACCAAGATATATATGGCTTCGTTAAAAACCATATAATTTAGCACAACAATACCTACCGTCTACACTGAGTCAATCTTTATTTTCTTAGAGTCGAAATTAATAACCAAAATCTTTGGATTCAAATAGAATATTGACATAAGTTTAAGTTTGACTGCCAATAGAAAACTGTTAAGGGCAAATCCTCTGCTAACGTCGTCGGTCACCGTGACCCTCACGTTTAATGTGGTAATGAAGTGTCTATAAAAAACTTCATTCGGATTCAAGATTTTAATTTCGGCCGATATTGGCTGACGTATTTACCAAATAACGGGGTTGAGTGTACGTATGTACGAGTGTGACGCCCCCACTGTTTCGTAACACTTTCGATGTCATGGACAAACGAATCACGGCGCGTGCCATTCTGGATATATTGTTTTCAATGTTATGACGTACCTACCTACCTACCTACATACATGTGTGGTGGAACGAGGAACACTGTTTTGCATAAAACATCTTTATACTGACAGCAGAAAGTCGGTTTGGTTCCGTCACGCTTTCACTTATCAACACATGTCCATTGAGTTTGGATTGAAATCGATTATCAATCTCGGATGCTATACAACCAATCCTGATCTCCCTAATTTTATAGTGACCCTGAATTTCTTTTTTAAAACGTTGGAAATCACCTAAATCAATTCAATAAAATACAATATACAAATCAATTATTATGTTTCTCGGCTTACGTAACTGCTTGACGAGGAACTCGACTACTTTCAAGCCATGCTAGGGGCTCATGCGACACACGACTCGACATTAATTTAATATGTCTCACAAATGTTATATTATATTATAATACAAACATAGAAATCCTATTGATATCTTTTGCGTGTGCTACATAACAAAACGAAGCCATTGTAGAATAATAGCCATATCAGCCGATACTAGGAACTATTGTAGCGACGGAAGTCGTGTACCAAATAAGGTTTTTATTGAAAACACTCAAGAATTTATTAGTTACAAGAATTTTGTGTGTCGACATACTAGACATACTTTATTATGTCCCGTTTGTCAAGTGGTCGCAAGTGCGATTACTAAGCAAACGTCTCAGGTTCAGTTCCGGGGTCGGGCAAAATATTATTGGAGTGTCTTATTTTTTTTAATTCTCAATATTTTTCTATTTTAATTCCCAGGTAGTGATATATGTGAAAGGGGCGGACACAACGGTCCTAGGCGCCTTAGCTCCGATGCGCGCCGGCTCAGCCGAGCTAGCTGCTTACGATAGAACCCGAGCGCTTCTTTCAGAGTACTCTCGCGCGGGTCTACGTACGCTGGTCATGGCTAAACGAACGATGCAACCTGCGTTATGGGAAGAATGGTTAGCTGGACATAGTCGTGCCATGGAAATTGGAGAAGGTAAGCTTAGCCGATTCTATTGCATAATTTTATAATCAAATTGTTTCAAATATTATTTATAGGAACTGTAATTTGATGTGCTTGTCCCGTTGAGTGGTCGCAAGTGTAACTTCCGAGCGAAGTGTCTCGCGTTTAGTTATAAGGTAAATTGGCCAATAGCATGAAATCTGAATCTGAACCCGTGAATGGTATTAGACTCAACTCCTATCATATGGTCCTCATAACATAACCAAACATTACACTACCAATTTGCTTTGATATTGACTAACAAATAGAATCTCACGTGTATTAAGTATTACATATGAATGCTGTTTACGCAGGTCGAGAAAAACGCATGCGGGAATCTCTAGCTCGGTTAGAAAGCGCGCTAACATTGGTCGGAGCTACAGGCGTGGAGGACAGACTCCAGCAGGACGTGCCGCGCACCGTGCGAGCTCTACTGGACGCGGGCATCGTGGTCTGGGTACTGACGGGAGACAAACCGGAGACTGCCATCAATATAGCATACTCAGCTGCCTTGTTCTCCCAAGGAGATCGGTTGCTGCATCTCATGTCTAGAGACAAGGTTAGTTCTATCTACATTTTTTGTTTTTTATTTTGGTGTCGATGGTAGTCTCGATATTGATAACGATAGAATTGAAACGCTATAGCGTGAATTTTTTAAACAAATTTTCGACTTTGTCCTTTTTATAATAAAGTCGAAAATATATAAATAGAATTGAGACTTTAGCTGATATAGACATTGTTTATTATTATTATTATTATTTCTTCTTTTTAAAAGCATCCACTGTCATTTATTACATGCATTATTTAATCAATCTCGGACGATCGTGACTATGTAATCTGTAATGTGTAATTATGTGTACAACTTGTAGCAGGATTAATAAGATTAATTACACAAGTTGTTATTATTTAATTCCTTGTTGCTATTTATCATTTATGTATAATCCAAGTGTATGTATTTGAGTATAATTATTGTATTTAATCTTAATAATGTAACGGATTAGAATGCGCAATCATTACCTTGACATGAATTGTATAAAAAAGTAGGTGTTATTTTCCCACATAGAGTGATAATCAGCTGATTTTTTAATATCACTTCCAAATATTTTATAGCACGGGGAAATGCTGTAACCGCAAGTTGAATAGAGCTCAGTCTCTATTCGTAGAAGTATTTGTGCCATTTTAGTTTGGCTATATTGGGTACTTTTGTTCATCAACACGTTCATTCCACACTGTACATTCATGTGATGAAAATGCCATTGAGTAATGTCGACCCCGGGCGTGTCCAGGAGCACGCGGAGTCGACGATAAAGAACTACCTGGAGGGCAGCGGCGCGGGCGCGGAGCTGGGCACGCGCGCGCTCGTGGTGGACGGGCGCACGCTGACGTACATCCTGGACCGGCGCTCCGGCCTCGTGGCGCCCTTCCTGTCCCTGGCGCGGCGCTGCTCCGCCGTGCTCTGCTGCCGCGCCACGCCGCTGCAGAAGGCCTACATCGTCAAGGTACCATTTGCTTCTATACACACGTCTACTTACACGACAACATACGAAAATAAATTACATTAGTAATAGTCTTAAAACAGTTCAACTACCAATTCTTCTAACTTATCTCTTCTTATGTAATGTTGCAGACTGATTATACTCGTTCGCATATGGTTGCTATATTTTCAGTTTTCAAAGACCAAAAAGCTAATATTGTAATTGCGTTAACTTACGTCTTTCCTTACAAGGAATGACTCCATAATTTATGTATGCATTTAAAGTTATAAATAATACTGATGATGTATCAAATATAAAATTCGAAAAGCTCGCCTTACTATAAATCACTTGTTATGTTCGGTTAGTAAAATAACATTTGTGTATATTATCTGCAGGCAGTGAAGGAGGAGCTAGCAGTGACGACGCTGGCGATAGGTGACGGAGCCAACGATGTCTCCATGATACAGACCGCAGATGTCGGAGTCGGTGAGTTACTTCATACTTACTTTGAACTAAATGACCATAATATAATGTTAATCTGTGTTTATTAAAGAGTTTATGTACATCTGAAGACTGGGACCCCTTCAACTGATAACAAAATTGAGAAATATAGAAGACTAAAGATTTAATAAGACTTGGTGACATCGTCAGAGTCCCGCGAGTCAAATAGCGTAGCGAACCAAGGCAAAGGTTCAGCTGACGATATTCTTAGAGGCCTCAATACGAAGTAGTTTTAAGTTTAAAGTAATCGAAACGAGACTGCGTTCGAAATGCCATGCACGAATAACTATCGCATTCGTAACTTAATAGTATCGAGCGCGTTCGGCGCTCTTATTGGCCGGCTCCAGTGAAACAACCAATCAGAACTCCGAACTTGCTCGATACTGTTCCGATACGAATGCAATAATTATTCGTGCTTGGCCCTCTGTGCTCTGATTGGCCGGCTCCAATGATCCACCAATCAGAACACCGAACGCGGTCTCGTTTCGATTACTTTAAACGTTTAACAAACTCGTACTAAGCCCTCTGAATAATAATAATAATTTTTAACTTAAATTCTTATTACTACTACCATAAAGTCTAAAATCGATAACCTACAACTATAATAAACGCATACATTTATCTCGAACAGGTATATCAGGACAGGAAGGCATGCAAGCAGTGATGGCGTCAGACTTCGCAGTGTCCCGGTTTCGGTTCATAGAGAGACTACTACTGGTGCACGGACACTGGTGCTACGACCGCCTCGCTAGGATGATACTCTACTTCTTCCTTAAAAATGCTGTAAGTACCTACATATTGAAGTTTATAAAGATACTAGCTACTTCCGCGAGGTTTCACAGGCTCTGCTCAGCTCCTATTGGTCGTAGCGTAATGTTTTATAGCCAAAAATAATTATTCAAATCAGACTTGTAGTTACGGAGATTATCGCGATATAAACTCTTCCGCTTTATATAATAGTATAATATGTGGTCGAATAACGAAACTATTCCTTTTTGTTAGTGCATAAAGGTATTCTACTGTCCGTCTTAATGATGAATGACACTGATCTGAAAACAAATGCTTGTGCCAAAGTGACCCTTTGGGGGTTTTTAAAAACACAGGAGCTACACGGACAATAAATAATACAAATTTCGGTGCAAACCTGCCACCTAATGCACCGATATGCTTGCCCAACCAGTTAAAGGAGCTCTTAGTTACGAGTGTACAATAAATTCTAGTCATTATTATACCACATATGATAATGTAATCTAATAATTATTATTGTTTGTCCACAGACGTTTGTGTTCCTAGTATTCTGGTTCCAGCTGTACTGCGGGTTCTCGTCGATGGTGATGATAGACCAGGTCCATCTCATGACATACAACCTCATGTTCACCGCGCTACCACCCATTGTTATTGGTTAGTGCTGCTTTTTTTATCTCACAGACTATTATAAAATGAGTTTTTTGTTTTGTTAGTTAGATTAAGGAAAATAATTTTAAGTTTTTAATCTTATTAAAGGAAACTAAAGTGAAATAACATTAGTTCTAAAATAATATAAGAAAGAATTATGAAATCTTTTTATTTTAAGTCATGGATTGTGAAAATGTTGTTAAAGAACAAATAATTGTTGGGTGCATAGATAAAAGTGCGATCATCAATCGTGTTGTATTTTTGTAATTGTCATAGAATCGGAAGTGTAGTTAAGTACAGCATTGTATAGGTATATTGTTCTCTTGCAACCCATACCCACGGCTGTACATGTCGGTGTCCAGGCGCGTACGACCGCGTGGCGCCGGCGGGGCTGCTGACGGAGCGGCCGGGGCTGTACGGCGCGGCGCGGCGCGGCCTGGCCTACCGCACGCACTCGTTCTGGGCCGTGCTCGCGGAGAGTCTCTACATCAGCATCGTCTTGTTCTTCACCAACACCTTCGCCTACTGGGATACCACCGTCGACCTCTGGGCCTTCGGGGTCTGCTGCATGACCTGCTGCCTCGTTGTTATGTTGCTCTACGTCGCCATCGAGACTAGGAGCTGGGTGAGTGTCATATTACTTTGTTGTTCATAGTCTAAACATTAAGTATGGTTAAATTATATTAGTGTAAGGCTTTATACGTATGTGTATAATGTCCTACAATGTTGATAAATAAATATTTAAATCTATTATAAAATTATCACTATTGTCATGGTGTTAGATATAATAATATTTATTTTGTTATGATATCGCTTAAATATTTATTACCTATGTCATTATTACATGCAGCTTTTTAATATCAGATTCGTAAGTGCTTGGATAAATGCATGGAGTGAGAATAGACCTTTAATCTATATACATATTTTAACAACACAACTTTAGACTGTATTGCGTTAAGAACACGAGTGAAAATAGCTATAGCAAACATTTTAATTATAAACTGTGTGGTAGAATAATTCACTGATACTAACCAACGACCAACTTTATTACTAAGGGACAAGGGTGAAAATCTATTGAAAAATTTTTGATAATTTTTGATCGGACAATCCGTGACACCCAGGGCGTCTCCTGCGGCGCCAGGGGCGTGAGGAGATACGCCCTCTTACACTGAAGGCGTATAATGACGATATTTCCGATATCCCCAGACGGTGATCCACCTGATGGCGCTGGCGGGGTCCCTGCTGTCGTTCTTCATCCTGACGCTGGCGTACCAGTCCATCGGCGTGAGCGTCCTGAACCTGCCGTCGACGTACCACGTACTGCACAACGCCATCACGATGCCGGTGTACTGGCTCGTACTCATCGTCACCACCGTCGCCGCACTCGCGCCCAGGTAATTAAACATGTAATTTTTCATTATATATTTACATGTGCTCGTTCGAAACACAACTTTATTTCTCATGAACCTATTATTATTATGTATAATTTACATACAAGATTAAAAGTACTTGATATGAAAAATCATTAAGTTGTAAGGTTTGGAAGATATTTGGTTCTCCGATGAAAACGTCATGTTTGCTAGTTGCCATTAGCGGTGCTCACACTGTGTCGTGTGCATTTTCTTGTTCGGATGTCATAAGAGCTGGCTAAGGGCCTGGACATTTGACAGAGACTGGGCTGCATTGGTCTTGCAACTTGAGTAAGCATGAATATTTTGGCAAAAGTTATTTAAAAGAATCCTATAGTCCAGGAGTGGAGTCTAACCAGCTTGTGATATATGTGTTGTGTACGTGTGGCCAGGATGGCGTACCACGGCATCCGCAACTCGGTGCAGCCGGGCTCGCTGGGCCGCGCCGTGGCCGCGCGCCGCCGACACCGCTCCTACGCCGCGCACTACCGCTCCGCGCCGCCGCACGCCACGCTCTACCGGTACCGCTCTACTCTATTATACCTTCCATTGGTCTATGGACATCTTCTGAGTTTTCAGTGCTTCAATTTTGGCTTAAGTCCATTGGACATCAAAATAAGTAACCAATCAGAAGATATAATAGAGAATCTGGCAACACTTGCCAATGACAACATCAATCCGTGAATTTATATTTGATTTTAATGTTATTTGTATTTAAAAGTATCTAAATATTATTTAAAATACTCGGTGCATTATACTATATCAGCGACAGTGTTATCTTGAATAGATTCTGTGTATTATGTGAAATGTAACGACTACAATATATTGAATAAATCACATGAAATAAAGTTATTAATCATAATATTATTTAATGAAATAGTGTGCCTAAAAAGAGAAAATGGCTTAATAGTGATTTACATTTCAAGAACATACTTCGAAGAGTGGTATGTACAAATTATTCTAAATAAAAACCAGTAGTCAATTCAAAATCTTCTAGTTCCTATGTAAACAAAGAACAGATGATTCACCACTTGTGACACTGACCAATCACAAACAGTGAGAAATTATTTGACATTTGAGACCTCGTTCAGAAACTGACTTCACATAAAATCACGCAACTTGAATACGAGTTTTTTGGCACTTTTAGTGTGACAGGGTTGCCAAGTTGTAAAAACAATAATATTTGGTAGAAATTGATATCTACATCGTCAGTCACTTGTTTTATTTAAATTACACGAACATGGATTTTGAAATAAATAACATTACTGTCCGGAAACCATTAAGGTCAAACTCATTGGACAATGTCTTCAATATCAACCTAACAAGTGAATCCGCATTGTTGGATACTACAATGATGAGCGTGCCAAATACCTCACTTAATGACAACGACGTTCTTGATAGCTACAAAGATACAATCAAAAAGCTCACAGCGGATCTAGAAAGTGCCCACCTGGAGATTGAAAACTTAAATAGCGAAAACTATCGACTAAAAATGGATATCGGTCAGTACCAAAAAGTTATAGAGACGTATAAAAAGGTGAACTTATTAGATGTAAAGTGCCTGACACCGAAATCTGCACGCCGAAAGAATAATATCAGAACTAGTTGTTTCTCAACTCCGACCAAGGAGTTTCTTCCCCTTTTAATTAATCATCAACCTAACATGGCATTGGTAACGCAATCCCCAAATGATGGCGGAAATGATTCCTTTAAAACAACCGGCTCAATATGCAGTTTGGAGGGAGTACGGTCCACTCCATCACAGTCCTCACATAAAACCATGAAGAATGATGCATTTATAGATGTAATTGATAAACAACAATCCCACCAGGAGATCAAAAATGACACTGCAACTGATCAGCCACAAACGCAATTCAGGAGCATGAACAGTTGTAACGAGCAAGATCGCAGGAAGCTACAATTTATCACTAGCAAAGGAATGACCAATGAAGAGCCACATGAAAATTTACAGCATTCATGTAACATATCACAAGTATGCGAATCAACAACATATTTGAATTCTAGTACAAAAATGGACAATAAGAAGAACACTAACAAAATTTGTATCATAAGTGAAAATAACATAAATAATATTCTTAGAAATGCTGAAAACACTTTTCCGTATGCTAAAGTTTGCCATTATTGCTTGCCGAATGCAGGTGTACTTGAACTTATTGCAACACTGCATTTGAAGCTTGAAAACTACTGTTTGAGAGATTATTGTATTGTTTTTATAGGTGAAAAGGATTTTACAGTGTCCACTAACTATGAAAAATTGGTAAGTTGCATAAAATGTAAGCTCGAAAAAATAACACATACCAATGTTATTTTGTGTTGTCCTAATTTTAAACTAAACAGAAATATAATTTTATACAATAAGAGAATAGAGGCGTTCAACCGTTATTTATATATGAGCAATAGGATCCATGAATACACATACACGTTTGATACTAATAAATACCTAGAATATACTTATGCAATGTTCTCTAAATATACTAGTAAAATTAATAATGCAGGTATGGTTACTATCTTTCAAAATTTGAAAAAATATGTAGTGGAGTTAAGTGCATATGTTGACAAAAACAATCCTGATATTAAAAATAACGCTTTTAGAGAAAACAAAGACACCAAAATTAAACAGTGTATTGCAGGAACTATCCCATATTATTTTAAACCAGTAAGCGCAAAAAACATTTTTTACAATCAACCTGACAGGCATAAACAAACGTTTGTAACAAGTAATCGTTATCAGAATGGTATACTACAAAATGAGCCAGATAAAATGTCCACACCATTAGCACCAAAACAATTTTTTCGTTCATAAGCACATCACAGTTCTACACCAAAACATAAATGGACTTTTGGCTAAATCTGATCTTCTTTCACTGGCTCTTGAAAATGAGGAAGGTCCAATAGATGTTCTGTGTATCACTGAACACAATATGATTACAACCGATAAAAATACTATCAACATCGCAGACTATAGACTCGGTTCCTGTTTCTACCGTAAAAACCGACACGGAGGATCCTGTATTTTAGTAAAAAAAATGCTTCAATTTTCCCCTATCAACGAAATTGGCAAATATTCATTGGAAAATATTATAGAATGCTCCGGCATTCAACTAACCGAACAGAAAATATACATCATATGTATCTATAGACCTCCAAGGTCAAATGCAGATCATGTAAATAAGTTTTTTTCCAACTTTAATTCCCTCCTGAGTCGATTCTGTTACAATAACAGGAAAGTGATAATTTGCGGCGATTTTAATATAAACACACTTAGCAAAACTAATGATGCAATTGAATTTAGGCAGATGCTTCATAGCTACAATTTAAAACTCAGCATCAACGAGCCAACGCGTTTGTCAAGCCAGACATGCATTGACAACATTATATTAAATTTTAAGGGATGTACAGCAAGGGTAACTGAATTTGCATTATCGGACCATACAGCTCAGGTGCTAAGATGCCCAGTTAAGCCAACTTTGCTCCTTATGTCGTGGAACATGGAAAAGCGGGATTACTCTGCAGATAACATTAATAAGTTCAGGGATTGTATCAATGCCCTCAATTTTAGTGATGTTTATGACAGTACAGACCCGAACTTGGCATTTCATGAATTCTTTGACTTATTTATTCTGTTTTATAACCTTTGTTTTCCCATTGTTGAAATAAAAATATCTAACAGACATCGGCCACTATGGGTTACTAAAGGCCTTAGGATATGCTGTAGGCGTAAACGTCAACTTTTGTGGGAATACAGGAAAAAACCCACAGGGGAAAACAAGAGTAGATTTCTGGCTTTGTCCGCGCGGCTAAATCGTATCATCAAGCTGACTCAAAAGTCTCGTAATGACAATTACATAAAAAATGCTCGAAATAAATCACTAGCCACCTGGAAGATAATTAACGCTAATAAACCTCATGTGCCTAAAGACCAAATACAGCAAATCCTTGATCAAGATGGGAACGTGGTATCTGACCCCAAGCAGATCGCAAATCATTTTAATGACTTTTTCATTGATCGGTCTCCAATTTCAGTGTCCAATAAATCAAGGATTAGTATTCCATATGAACTAAATTCAATGTTTGTACGTCCAACTACACCAGAAGACATTTTAAAAATTATTAAAGACTTAAAAAACACAAACAGCACTGGCTATGATGGTGTGTCAACCAAAATTATAAAACAAGTGGCCATAAAACTTTCATATATACTAAGTCATATAATAAATCTAAGCATTACCACCGGTATATTTCCAGAAAAACTTAAGTTAACGATAGTAAAACCACTGTTTAAGAAAAAAGATAGATGTGACATGAGCTGCTACCGTCCAATAGCGCTTGTACCAGTCATATCAAAGATCTTTGAGAAGGTAATCCACGACAGTATCTATAATTACTTTGAGTCTAAAAAATTGTTTTGTGATGAACAAGTGGGGTTCCGAAAAAACAAAACAATTGACATGGCGGTATTCAATTTTCTTTATACTATATTAACTGACATGGATAAGGGTAAACAGGCATGTGCGTTATTTATGGATCTCACAAAAGCTTTTGATTATGTAGATCACAGTATATTGTTGGACAAGTTATACGCCTATGGAGTGAGGGGAAATATACATGACTTGATTAGATCTTATTTAAGCAATAGAACTCAAATAACCCAAATAACTAAGATATGTCCTATAACTAAAAAGGTAGTCAACCATTCATCCTCATGCAGAACAGTCAGGTCGGGCATTCCACAAGGAACAGTGGTGGGCCCACTTCTATTTATCGTATACATAAACGACCTTCCAAAATATTCAAAATACAAAACTGTCCTATTTGCAGATGATAGCACAATACTTTTTACCGGAAATAATAAAATTGATATGGAGACAGAGATAAACATGACTCTCAGAAATATAATAAACTGGTTGACATCAAATAATTTATGTATTAATCTCAGCAAAACTAATTTAATGACATTTAGAAATAGATCGAATAAAATAACCAATATGAATATTAATTACCAAAGTGATTCGGTTCAAGAAGTGGACGCTACGCGATTTTTAGGACTGAATATTGACAACACTCTAAACTTTAAACAGCACATTGACTCACTTTGCACAAGAGTAAATACATACTCATATGCACTCTATATGCTCAGAAAGACGGTTAGTAGTTCAACTCTTCTTACGGCTTATTATGGCTATGTTGCACCTATCTTAAGGTATTGTGTTATTTTTTGGGGTAACTCCACTAACAAAGACGCTGTATTTAGAGCGCAAAAAAAATGTGTCCGAGCTATAGCTAATATAAAGCAAACAGATAGTTGTAAACCCTATTTTATAAAACTAAATATACTGACCGTACCGTGCATTTATATATTAGAAGTTGCACTATTTGTCAAAAAAAACCTGCAATGCTTTAACAAATTTAATAGTAATAGATATCAATCTAATATATATTTTCCAGGCACTAAAACAGCATTACTTAATAAAAGTATTTTCCGCATGGCGCCACGTGTCTATAATCACCTACCCAAGTCTGTACTGGAGATTTCAGATATAAATATATTTAAAAAAAAAATCAAAGCCCTATTAGTGCCAAAAGCATATTACACTGTCAACGAGTATTTGCAGGACAAGTTAATGTAAAATATCACTATTTTTTTATTAAGTAAATTTCTATATTTTGTAAGTTTTGCATGCATTTGATAGGATATGTAAACCAATCGGTGTGGAATCCGACACATTTTTGGACATTGTCCTTTGTATGACATTTTTATTTAATCTAATTCATGACATTTTATTTGACAAATACATTTATTGACATTAAATTTTAATTAAATTGGTGACATTATATTTTGAATTCACATAAATTACAATAATTGTGTTGAAAGTTTGAATTTTGAAGGTACTTGATTTTTTTCCAAATAACATTGTAAAACTGTAATTTTTGTAAATTTTGTAATTTGCATGCCTCAAGGCGTAATATGGTCGGAACTGTATCTACTTATCTGCTAACAACTTAATTTACCCATATTAGCAAATAAATGATTTGATTTGATTTGATTTGATAACATAACATCTCGTCTTTTGTCCCCAAAGGGGTAGGCAGAGCGACACATTATACCACTGTACAATATGTAACACCCACTTTTCACTATTTATGTTATAAGTCCCATGTAATAAGAGGTGACCCTGTTGTCATATACCGAGCACAATTCCAGACTCCGTGCTACTACTGAGAATTTTTTTAAAACCCAGTAATACGTTGCCCGACCCGGGATCGAACCTGAGACCCCTTGCCGAATCGCACTTACCACCACTCGGCCAACAAGGCAGTCATAAGAAATATAAGGTTTTATATAACCTTTTAAGATATCATGTTCTCAGCTGTGTTTTTGCCTAACCTACACAACTTGCACAATGATAGAAAACAATAAAAATAATAGCTAACTTTATCTTCTACATATTACAGGGCGAGAGATGAGGATGGGCTGCAGAAACCGCAGACGGAGGTGGCGGCCATAACGTGAGCCCCCCCTACCTCCACTGTACACTGTTACACTGAACCTAGGCTGTGATCTGTCGATAGACCTATTGTAATTACAAGTTTAGATATATTGTGCTTTTATACTGCAACGCGGGACCAACGCCCCTCGCTGGCGCCCACTGACTAGCTCGCATTTATCTCGGCTCTCGTTCTTGCAAATCGAGTGATTGAACGTCCCTCACATAGTGCAACAATAGTCCCCCCTCTCCCACTCGAGCCGAGAACGTTAATTATTATTATTATAACACGAATTGAATCTGAATTCTAAACACTGTTTTGTTCTTTGTAAATATTTCATCGCAAGTGTTCAAAACTTTAACGTATAACCTACCATATCATCGAAATTACTTCCGATGTTGTTAGTTACCATAATTATATGTATAACATTTATTTGTCTAGTATTTATAGTACATAGTACTTACGCCGCTCGCGCGGTATCTCATAGATCTGCCAATGTAAGGTGCGCGGACGGTAGTGAGACCATACTTACCAGATTCAATAACTTACTTGCCTGTGGTTTTGTCTTCTAGATATAAAATTTTACTCCATACAAAATGTCTTAAAATGCTATGTCTAAAACACAAATCTAACGGTAAAACGGGGTGAATAGATACAGAAAAGGGGCGAATAAATGTTGAGAAAATGTTCTAATAAATGTTGAGAAAATGTTCTAATATTCATTCACCCCATTCCTGTATCTATTCACCCCTTGAATTATATTCACCCCGTTTTACGGTTCCGTTAAACAGGCTATTAAAACTATCCATAACTTGCCTTGGTCTCACCACCGTCGAGCGTATCATTTGTTAATTTTAATCAGTATTTTTGCATCTTTACGTGACCATGGATTTAGAAACGATAATACGTTTTGTACAATATTTGTAATATTACGTCATAAAGTATTTAAATTCGAGCAGACTAGATACGTACGTGGGCGTTGACGTGCACGTACAGTGACCAGCATATCACCCTACCCTTCAACTTTATTGTATTGACATAAAGTCGAAAAACCAATTAATAAATTTAACAGATTGTAGTAGCTTGCTCTGCTGGCCACTGTACTACAGAGTTGTAATGTATGGGATTGTATGAGACAGAGCAAACAAACAAACCGCTTGCGTAAACGTACTAGATAGTAAAGTCTGACATCGACTCAAGCATTAGGTAAAATATATTAGCGTGGTAATGTTCGTTGCAATGTTTGGCTCGACTCGTTGTTTAGTTAGACAGATTTAAAATCGGCGAATGTTAAGAATATTCTGTGACAAAAGAATGCTCACCTCTATTAGCACTTTAACGTAGACGTACAGAGGTCTTAGTAAGAATTTGTTCTACGTTTAAAGTAATAGAAACGATTACGCGTCCAACACTCTGATTGGCTGGCTCCAATGAACCTATGAATCAGAGTTTATTTTACTAACTCATACTGAACCCTCGGTTCTACACAAATACATACGTACGTAGACGTATACCTACCCATACGCATATACGCATCCGAGTACCTAATGCGAGTTTTTTTATGTTAAAGCGATCGAAACATTACTGTATTTATCTCTCTGATTGGTTGGTTATCTCAGAGTGGGCCAATCAGAACGCCGAGCGCCATAAGCTAGTCGGTAACAAAAACAAATTCGCACTTTGTACTCAGGTCTGCTCGATTCATTATATTATTATTGTGTACACTGCCTCCGAATTTGTTATCGTATTCTAAATCCATGACGAGTTATCTCGTGGACATAGCGAATAAATATAAACGTGAAACTTTGATCTACTCGAATTTGAACTGTACAGCTTTGTGTTAAGCTGCTTATTGGTATAAGCAAAGATTTTTGAAAAATAATTGTTGTATCTCTGTGTACCCGAATGTAAGAGTTGTCTTATTGTTAGTGGGTTTGCGTTTGTGTGAATGTATTTGCTGTTATTAGTAAATACATATGTGACAACAATATTTAATTTAGACTAAGTACCTCGAACTCTTCAAATGAGAGTTGTTGCATTTTCCAAGATATTTTGCTATGACAATTTTGTATGAGATTACAAATTGAAAATGTCCAATCATTTCTAAATTCTATTATGGTCATAATAAGGCTTAAGTTTGCTCACACAAACGCAAACTAAGGGTCTAATACAACTTAACGTTTACGTAACCGTTTCGTGTATCAAAAGTAAAATATAATTATCAATGTATTTTTGAACACGAAAGGATAACGTAATGACGCTAGCACATTAAGTTTCAATAGAATTTCAACTCTATTGTTATGTAATAAAGTCTAAATTCTATTGAAGGTCAGTTTGATGAGGTAGCATTAATATAGATGTCAATATAATTCCAAAAACCGCGTCATGTACTTGTTAAAAGTAACTAACAAGGGTAATTAGGACTCGAAAGTAGTTAGCTTAATATATGTTGAAGTAATACACGTTCGTATGTCTGTCTGTCTATATACTGTGTACCGTGTGACCAGCGATACGATTGTGATTGTTGATGTAATCTTGTATTTAGTAGGTTACTAGTGTGTGATAACGGTTGACTTCCTTCTCAGAAATATTTATATTTATTTATAGAGAAACGCTGCCTTGCCTGAGACTGCACCCGGTATTGGGGCACTTGTACCGCGGGCTCACGCCCGGCCGACGCACGCTCACGTTCAAACGTCCTCGCGGACTTACTAGTCTAGGCTTACAGTACACTCTCATATAAACATCACTACAGACCAGCCATGGTAAATATCTCAATAAAAAAATAAAGCTATATTGTGTATAAGTTGTTTCTCAGTATATCTTTATTTACTTCGATTTTTAACTATTAGTCTGATACAAACTTTTTCGTCTTTGCAAATATATAATATACAATTGTTTACATCTATTTTATCATCATTGCATTTATAAACAACCTGCATATTTCCAAGGTTGTTAAATCGCAGTTATTTTAATTTGATAACGCCAGTATGTAGATTTTTAAATGGCAAAATTGGTGTACATTCATTTAATATTTGAACCTACTATTTTACTACTTTATGAAATCAGTGTTAAAAATTCCAATATTGACAAACTAGTAAGCAAGTTCTGTTGATCTAAATGATCAAAATCCTATTTAAAAAAGTCCATGAGCAATGTCGTGATGAGCAGTAAAGAAATAACGAGTGGTACATATATTGTAAGTGAATTAGAACAAGTGCCTCGACCGAGCCCCGGCCGGGTGTGACCGCGCCAACCTCGTGAGTAGATGATTCCTAAAGATTTAAAGAACTATTTTTACTATCGTTTCTAGTTTTGTACATAGAAACAAATTATATTTCTATATGAATGAGATGATTGTTACGTGTACAGTAGGATATTTTTATATGAAACAAATCTTTGTGTAAATAACTTGTATGTTCTAAGACTGTTGTTTATTTTAGAGCTTTTAGTTCGTTCAGTTAAATTAAACTAATGTAATAGGGTATTGTGATGAACACATGTATTTTCCAGTCATTATGTTCCCATGCTGTGTGTCTGATGTTTGTTCTTGCCATGTCGAATAACTCTTTAGTACAATTTCTTTGTAGTTAGTTCGTGAGTTTCTATTCTCTTCTAAAATATTCAATCTTTTTAATAAGGACCTGTTTTACTATCTGAATATGTAACTATATCTCACGATAGAAGTTATTATCATTCGGATACAGTGGAATGGATATAAAATTAAATTGACTAGTCTTATCAACGAAATGTTAAAAATGTATTATCTTTACGAAAATTAATCTTCCATTAAATTATTGAAGGCATTCAATCGACATTATTACGAAACTAATTACGAGATTAGAAAAATAATAAAGTATTAACGTTGACGCTGCGTTGACGTCGCGTTAATATTGTCGGCAACGTTACGCAGCGTTTACGTCCGTAATACAATGTAAATAATATACATACTCACCAAGACAGTATCAATGTGTCTCGTAGTTAGTTCCGTAAGTGTCAGCATTTATTCTGTTGCTTATTCCATTATGTATAATCATGTTGTTTCTTACTTATACTTATTGTGCATTTAGTTTTGTGATATTATCGAAACTATATGTTTTATAGTCGCTACTATCAACAAGTATGCACGACAATGACTAGAAAATACATCATATAGATGTGTTGTTTTATAATAATAACAAATTATTTAATTTCATTACAAATATTGTTTTATTTCGTCTCCTTTTTATATTATACATACGTACATGGTTTACAATTTGTCAATAATGTACATTATTTTGTGCATTCAGTAAATAATTACAACAGCTTCCTAAAGTGTAGAGATGTATAAAAACACGATAATTTTACTTCATCAAAAAGTAACATTAACTTAAGGAGCTAAACATTACATGTCTGCTTAGCAGTCACTTCTATCTATATATCTCCTAAAACGACGGATAGAATCTCAAATAATATTCTCTTCAACATAGACAATGGGTACATGCGTAATTCGGTTTGAGAGTAGTACAGCTGAGAAGGAGACTAACCTATGGAAGTTCAAATACACTTTGGACTTTGATGCTGGCGCCCATCAACATAGTATAAGGTATTCCAAAATGGCGCTAATCAAATTCCACGTATTGTACTTAGAAACCCATTGTCTACATCTTTAGAAAAACAATAACAAACAATAGATTTAAAAACAGAATTAACAAAACATTAACTGATAAAGACCTATTTAATTGAGATATCATGGTTGTTCTGGTCACAGTTTGTAGACCATAGAATCTCAAATAATTAGCTGAAATAACAACCAAACAAAAAGAACAACGACTGCAATTTCCCATCCTTAACCCTTTGACCGCCAAAGACGCTTTAAAGCGTCATTCAATAACTTGATCGAGACGCCAATGACGTCTTAAAGCGTCCATCGCATTTCAACTTTTAATGACGAATAAAACTTAGCTAATGTTAATTTTCTGAATCAGGAATATTTAAAACTCTTCATATTGACTTCGACTACTATAATTATGCATTAAACCATTGAGCTATAGTATAATTGGACACGTAATACTAAAAATTAACTCATCAAAAAATTTACTTATATAGTTACACTCACACCGCCAACGACGCCTTAAAGCGTCGACTAGTGTTGTGACTACCCTCGAATGAAAAAAAATAATAATAATAGGTCGGTAGTTTCAAAAATGGTGCCAGTCAAGATTTTTACGTCATATTATACACTAACTGTCGAAAGCGAGGCGTGTAAACGGCTCTGTGTATTTTTGGTTGACAAGCATATTATTATTACTGTTTCCGCATAAATTTGAAGCTGCGTTTTGAACCGTAATGGAGAAGAAGACTGGTAAGTTTACGTTATTTTTCTTTGATTTACATTTTTTTTTAATTGATAGTAAAAATATAATTAGCATACAGTATGTACCGCATTTGCTTGAAAAATTATTATTCCTCGAGTCAAAATATTTAATAATTTTGAAATAGTGGCCCACCATTCGAATGTCGATACATCAAAAGTGATAATAGGTATTGTAAATAAAATTCCTAACTCTAATAGACTACTTAAGTATAGCCAACATGTGTAACGTATTAATTAAACATAATTTTACGAAAAAATATATATTATTATTTGTATCGCTTACTGATTTTACACAGATTTGAAGCGCCCAAGAGAGCAATCGCCAAGCATCCTACCCCAAGTTGCTCAAACACAAGCCAAACATAAGCCCACATCAGCTGCAACTTCTCAACATACTAATATTGAAAAAAATATCACAAGACCATGTTTAGAATGTAACAAATATGAACGTGATGATAAAAGGAACTACTATTATTGTCAATTACTAAATGAAGAATTCATGTACATTAAACCGTGTATTCGTTCACGTTGCTACATAAAAATATTGAATTTTTTAGAGCATGCAAAGAACGCTCATTTTGACGAAATAAACATAGATTTATCAGACACAGAGAAACAGTAGGTTTCGATATGTTTGAAGATGAAAAAATAAAGAATATTCTTAATAGTTTTTTTCTCAATATAATATAATATTTATTATTTAACATAGTGCCTAGTTTCTAACTAATATGTATTAAGTAGGTATATTTGTTTGCAGTACCGACATACATTGATCTATAAATATAATTTATTTACCTAGGTACTTAGTTTCCTTGTAACATTATAGTTTTCCCTTTACTTAAATAAACATCGACAACTTATTCGAACATTACTAATAATCACACATTTTTCTATGTCGTGAACGCCGTTGACGACTTAAAGCGTCCGCCTATGACGTCACAAGCGAGAACGTTGGTTGTTATAGTGTTGGGATTTGACGGTAGGAAAAAATAACATTTTATCGATGTACCCTCAAGACAAATTATTATTATAACTGCAATAAGTATTTCACTAGCAGATCGTTTTGTGTTACGCGTTTTTATTAAAGATAAATATGGATCACGAGGAGCTCCTTCGTATTTTAGAAGGTGTCGATGATGGAATCGAAATTGAATCTGCATCTGACAGTGAAATTGAAGATGAATTTGAGGTGAGTCATTTCTAAGTTCACAAACCTACTTCTAACATTACAAGTTATACTCCGCTGAGATTGGACGGCATGCCCGAAATTTAGTTTAGCGTTTTTTAGCTCCCTTACGCCCTGTGTCACGGAGTACTCTAAGAATTACGGGTACAAATTACACTCGGACAGAAACACAAATGTGTGTGTTATGTGGGAATAACGACCTAAACTATTCGACTACCGAGGCTGTCCATAATAAATCATAATAAAATCGTTTATTAACTTTAAAGTTTACTGTCTAAGGACTACTGTCCTTAATAATTAATTTTAATTGATATTCATTTATCTTTTTTAGGCTGTACTAACTGAGAACCTCCCAGCATCAAATCCTCCAAATGTTCAGGATGAAAGTGATATAGTTGAGAACATACCAGGACCACCTCCTATTCAATGGACAAGACAACCATTTGGAATAGAAACTCCTTTTTTTGATGACTTTGGTAGTGGTATTTCACCTTCATTAAACTTAACATCATCTTCAAACGAATTAGCAGTTTTTGAGAAGTTCGTGGACGAAGAGTTAATAAAAACAATAATACGCTACACTAATCGGTATCATTGCTACTTCATACTAAACACGGATTTGAGGAACCACTCGAGGCTGCAGACTTGGAAAGATGTAACCGTTCCAGAAATGTATATATTTTTGGCTATTACTATGTTAATGACTAGAAACAGTCGCTTAACGATTGAAGAGCATTGGTCAACAAATCCGCTATTGAATTCTCCAATTTACACAACTCTAATGAGTAGAAATCGTTATACGACAATATTAGGAATGTTGCATTTTTCTGAACCGAGACCAAGGCATGCCAATGACCTAATATTGTCAAAGATAATAACGGTGGTAGATGACGCAAGACAAAAATTTCAATCTAATTTTATTCCGTACAAGAAGCTATGTATTGATGAAAGTATTGTTCCATTTAAAGGAAGGTTAATTATCAAACAATATATACCTAATAAGCGTAATCGATTCGGCATTAAACTGTTTGTCTTATGTGATGTAGAAACGAGAATTATATTGGATTTTATCATATATACTGGTTTAGAAACTGAAATAATACGCGATGCAGACCTAGGTGTAAGTGGATCAATAGTTATTACCTTTTTACAAAAATATTACTTTTCGAATAGACAAATTTATATGGACAACTGGTACAGCAGCCCCAAATTATTTATTTCTTTATTAAATCGAAATATAGGTGCTTGTGGAACTGTAAAACGTAATCGCAAAGAAATGCCTGAATTCAAGAAACTGAAAAAAGGCGAGAGGGATGTGAAATATGCTCCCAATATAATGGCTCTAAAATGGCACGACAAAAAAGATGTGTACATGATCACTACTATGCATAAAGATCAAATGGGACCTACTGAAAAAATTGATCGGTCCACAGGTTTACCAAAAATGAAACCCGAATGTGTTATAGATTACAACGAACACATGGGAATCATTGACTTGAATGACATGATGTTAAGTTCTTTACACAGTATTCGAAAAGTGACGAAATGGTACAAAAAGTTATTTTTTCATATAATTGACCTCTATTTGCTAAACGGTTACAACTACTACAAAGTTTTGCAAGACAACAAAACACTACGTTTTGCCAAGTACCAACTGGCAGTCGTAACACAAATTATCCAAAAGTACGCAGGAGACAAGACCTTACCGATGACTTCACGAAATGTAGACCAACCATTACGATTAATAGGAAATGCGGCACGCCACATGCCAGCATATTTACCGGATTCGAAAAAATTACGTTGTAAATTATGTAGTAATTTGAAACGCAAAAGGCGAGATACAAGATTTTGGTGTGAAATTTGTAAAGTGCCTCTTTGTGTTACATGTTTTCGTGAGTATCATGAAATAGAAATATTGCACTAACGCAGAACTTATTGTCATACTTTGATTATAATAAATATCGACAACTATTAATAAATCTATCATCACATCACTGTCTATGTTACGTTTTTATGACAAAATTACCCCTCTCCTACGCCATTGACGCTTTAAAGCGTCGACTAGTTACGGGAAAATAGGGTAATATGTTATTTTTATATGCAAAATCAATATTTACAGAGGCATATACATATACACTAATGTAAGGTATTTGATCATAAACTAAATCTTCAATGGTAAAAGTATTATTTTATTTGTAAACCGTGAACACAAGCACAATGTATCGATGTTTTATTGATTCAAAGGTTTTTTTTATCGGTCTAAGAGTTAATAATGATAAACTAAATATTTTTTTATTTCATTATTAGTAAAACTTCAGTTGTATAAGCATTATTTTATTTGTAAACTATGCACAAACAAAATGTATCGATGTTTTATCGGTTTGCGTTTCCCATCACTATTTTTTTATAGGTATAATACAACGAATTTATTGCTTGGCGTCGGGAGCACGGTTTTTCGTTATTAGCGTGGCGGTCAAAGGGTTAAAACATATTTTCAATAAAAACTATTTTTATGAATCTTTATACAATATCGTTAGTAAAATCTACTAAGTAGAATCCAAAGTGCCGAGGAAGAGGAATAAACTGTCCTAAGAGTTTAACTCTCATGAATATAAATCGCCGTAACTTTAACTATGATCTCTCTATCGCACATGTAACATAATATACGTACAAGACAAAGATAATAGTATAGTGAGAACCTGTCTTCAAAGGTTTTTATCTCAGCTTATTATGCTCACGTGTGCTCACTTTGCACAAATTTTAAATATAGCTACATTACATAATTTTGAACTCTATTCCGTTCGTAATAAAACAAATTTGATATACACTAATTAGAGTAAATATTTTTCATAGCAATACCATTCTTAACTAAACGAAATAGAGAACAAAATTGCTTGACCAAAACTGTATAAGTAAAAATGTTAAATGAAATTCAGAGGCCGTAGATCTTTACAAAAATAGCCAATCACAATTTGAGTTATCGACATAAAACCAATATTAAAACAATACAAAACGTAAAATAGAAAAATATGCGTGGATCATTTCAATAATCACGTATAAGCCAGACCCAGAGTGTTATTGTAACCTTGTACACCAGCTATCTTGTATCAACAAAACTATTCGTAGGTTTCAAACAGTCATAATAAGGACTAAACAGTATTAACTTGACCTAAACGTAGGGGACATCGATAACTGACTGACATAATCGATATCGATGTTAAGTGGCACATTTCTAGTACCTAAGTAAAACATAGGTGAAATAGGCATGCAAGGAAATATCGATAAATGACAGACACTATCGATATTAAGTGGCACACCACTAGTAAGTAACAATTGAGATTATTATTGTTTAAGAAACAATTTAAAATAAATATTAATTGCTATTAAGTTAATCGACTAGCTAAATAATGTAAGCAAACACAACTTAGATTTATATGAATAATAATAATTATCTGTTATTTGTGTTGTTTATAAAAATATCTTAGAAAATTAATAAATTACCAAATATGGTTTACATGTAATCGGCGTAAATTGGTCAAAACTTTGAAATGCTGCTGTTTCATATAAAATGAGGCACTTATAATTATAATTAAAGGCAGTAAACGTTTAAATTAAGTATATCCTGCGTTAACAGTTCTCAAAGTAAAAATATAATTTGTCCATAATTGTCAAATTAGTTTAATTTTCTTTATCATAATATTCTAGTTGGCAGTGACACTCAAAAGTTAATTATAATGGCTAGTGATTTTGCATAAAATTAATACAAAATAAACATTTTCCAAATATCGCGAATAATATTAAATTTTCCTATTTTGATTTAGTGTCGAAAACATTACAAACATTGAGAACCGCTACTTTACTAGGGCCTGGCTGATTTACAAAACACAAAAACTATTGCACTAAAAATTCTAACAATAATGTCGTCGTTAACAATAAATTACTTTAGCTACATCACAATCGGATCACAGTATACATTCTAGAATGCCGTTCACAACGTCAACAGTGGGGTCATTGACCAGGACAATATCGAACTTGTTTAGATAGTTTGTGAGGTTACCCTCGCGATTGTTTCCTAGAAATCCTACTTTGACGACAACGTCACAGTGTTCCATACCTTCTGCCATGCCTGCATCCCCTATATTGTCCCCCATAAGTACGACGTTGGTCCTCTGTTGCACCATGTCGTAATACTCCGTGTGTTTGATGGCGGTTTCGTTCTTATTATACGTGTGTATCACCTCGCCTTTGATACCCACTATGCAGTCGTCCTCGTCCAGCGCTAGGAAGTTTGATATTACCTGGAAATAATAAGACCATGTATATTTTGGATGTCCATATATTTTCGGTAGTTATCCTAGTGTCCATTAAATATCTCAAACCTATAGTCGTCCCAAAACTGAGCAAAATAGTGGTCTCTTTTGTCTTTTAACAGAAATCTATGCAACTTTGTGATGACAACTAGCTAATTTTATCGCAGAACACTAGTAATAAGTAGTTTCTGTAGAATGATGTATAATATACCTTAACGTTAGGTAGCATGAAGTTGGCGGCAGTCATGGCAGCCAGCACGGACTCGCCGAGTCCCGCGGAGAACACCAACACCGGCACCTGCTGCGCTCTGCTCCAGTCTATCATTTCACGGACACCTTTCCTGGAAAGTGATAATGACATGACATTATTTAAATAGTAAGTTACTTATAGCAAACGAAATAAGGTTCCTATTTTAATAATGCGTGGTTCGTTATTATGTATTAGTGGTTCGTATCATTGGATACTAAGAGCCAGCGCTTTTTTTAAGGGGGAAAATTATCGAATGACTTCTCCGGCCTGGGTGAGGCGGGAGGGAGTGTCAGACTCTTACTGACTAAAAACCACCCCGTTCCTACTCCTGAACTTCGAGCCGGAGCCCCGGTAACCCGTTAAGTTCTCCGCGGCTCCGTATCGACATCAGCCTGTGTGGTGGTGTTCTGATGGCTCTTTGAGAAGCGCGCGGTATGCGACACGCCGTACGCTCGGGTCTAGTTCTGGTCGGGCGGCGAACCACCCATGCTCGCCGTCCGCAGGCCCGCGCTTACGGTAGCGGAGATCGCCCCGCGATCCCCAACGCCCGGAGTGTTTCTTCTTCTTCACGACGGCTGGGTTGTGAGGAGGCGGCGCTACGCTGCCTCACGCGTCCCGCCTCCTCCTTAGCTAGCATGACTGCTTCGCAAAAGAGGGAGACGGCATCCCAGTCCCCCTCGCTCCGCATCATGACCCGCACTAGGACCGAGAGGTCGCCGTCGCCGATCCCGTCTCTGAGGGCACGGCGGTGCTCAGCCCGCGCAGGGCATTACCCTACTGTGTGTTCCACCGTATCCTCAGGGAAGAGCCAGGGCTTAGTCGAGTACTATTGGGGAGAAAGTAGACGGAAACAGGTTGATGATGAAGTCTGGATATCCTATCTCACTGCAAAATAATAATTGCTCTTATTTTATTTATTATCTCAACGCGGACTATTTTATGGTGTAGTCGACCGCTTAGCAACAAAACATACCAATAAAAACATGGGACAGTTATATGGTAAAAATAAAACTCCTGCATATTTATACTGTGAAGATAACAATCTCTTGGATACGATAATCAGATCGCTTCAGTTCTAGTTTACGTCGATACTTCAACACATTATAGATGGATAATAAAGATATGAGTACCGTGTTGCCGCGCGGAACCGGTTTCCCACGGTCACTGATTACATAGATAAACAATAAACCAACAGATAAACAAAATCAGCTTAGATTCTCTAAGAGAGAACATTCATATTATCCTATTATTTTATGGTGTACTTTCACTAATTTTTATCTGCAGTTTTGCCCAAGGTGAAAAAGTCTCCTGTCCTACTCCATACTAGAGTAGATAATGTACAATGATAACACACAAACTTTGAATATTGTTTATCTTATCCAGTTTAAATAAATCAATAATATGATGTTTACCTAAAACACTGCACCATTTTGTTAGCTGCTTCCTTCAATTCATGTCTCGGAAATTTCACGCCTCTGGAAAAGAACAGAAGTTAATTATTAATGAATGTTAGTACTCATTTACTGGTTCTTTATCAAGTAATTGTGTGGAACGATTAATACAAACAAAATCGTTGGTTGAACAAACATTCCATAAAGTTTCTCGATATTTAAATTTTCAGTTTCCTACAGTTTTTAATACCCCATTTCTGTGTCATTGGTGCATTTACAAATACATAATTTCACATACATACCACACTTAGACCCGACCATCTATCTAGCCCAGTCACTGCGCTAACCATGCAGTCAGATTGTAACAGTAAAGTCGAATCATAGCAAGGAAATGGTAACCATAGTGATAGGTCGACCAGTCTACAATTCATATTGTTGCTACCTAAATTTAAATAACCTGATTATCAGATAAAATTGCTTAGTCATTTCAACTATTTATTTATTTATGTATTTTATCTGTAATACATTTCCATTAGGATTTGCATAAACATTGCAGTCTACTTAAGTTATATTGTAGTTGAAACTACTATGACATAATCATTTCAATATATCTTAGTTCTTTTAAGTTTATCGTGAGAAGACAAACAAACAAAGATATGCGGCGGAAGACTTAGTTTTATAAGAATTGGTCTCATTGTATATTTAGATAATACTTTTCATTCACATAAATATGTAATTATTTCTTACATTTAAACAAAGTGAAATGTTTGTAGACAATTCTTTGTAAACATTATCTTTTTAACAGGAAGATATTTCAAGGAAACATTGTTTCTTAATCTATTTGGCTTTTAAATCTATATCTATACTATAAAGTTAAAAAGTTTTTTGTATGTTTAAACATGCTAATCTCCACAACTGCTGGTCTGAATTGAATCATTCTTTTGTGTTGGATAGTCCCATTCATCGAGGAAGGCTATAGGCTATAAAACATCAGGCTATGATTAATAGTACCCAAGTAGCAGCTATAGTAGAATATAATAATACTGACTGCCTCTTTGTCCGAGTGGTCGCGACTGCTGGGCAAGGGGTCTCGGGTTCAATTCCCGGGCCGGGCAAAGTATTACTGGGTTTTTAAAAATCTCCGTAGTAGCACGGAGTCTGGAAATGTGCCTGGTATATGGCAATAGGCTAACCCCCTATTACATGGGACTCATAACATAAATAGTGAAAAGAGGGTGTTACATTGTACAGTGGCATTAAGTCCCGTAATGTACACCTCTGCCTACCCCTTCAGGGATAAAAAGGCGTGATGTTTGTTATGTTATGTAATAATACTTACTTGAGCAAAGCATGTGCTGCCACATACCAGTCTATCATATGTTTCGTTTTCTCCTCAATACTCATGTGAGGGTCACTTTCTATTGGTTTGTAGATGCCAGCCAGCCTATTGTCCTCATCTTTGTAGTGCTGTGGTATTGACGGGCACTCACGGAACATACCTAGAAACAAAAGAATTAAGTATTGATCATAAATAGTCTTGTACCTTTGTCTCATCCTAGCAAAATATACAGTCAAAGACGTCTTCTAATTGTTTACTTTACAAGTCAAATGAGTAAGATGTATGTATGTACGGACAGTAACTATGCCTCTTAAAAATAATATACACCAAAAAGCTTTTTATTATTAAACTTAAAGCAAACTTATAGAGAATTCTACTTACCAAATAAATAATTTAACCATGTATACTAGGACTCTAATCTACTCTAAAATATTAAATTGGTTTTTAACAACTTGCAACAGTTTTCATTTGCAAAACATTTTGCGAAATGTAGATTTTACTGATAAAAAAAACTACTGTGGAAAGGTAAATTTTGTTATTATTTCAAAACAATGCAACCAGCCAATTGTTGCACAATAGGTTGCAATAACTGAAGCGAACAAAACTGTATTAGCAGACCTATTACTGCGTTTACCTTCTAATCTCGTTGCAATAAATTCATGCAATTATTTGTGATTAATCGAAATATTTCTAAAGCATCAGATCAGATAACATAATAACTATTTTGTTGCTACAGCAAAATGTACGATCTCAGTGGATTTCGACCAAAATTGAAGTATCTTAAATCAAAAATTTTAAATTATTCGAAGCAACATTTTATAGGTATTTTAAATTTCAAAGTAAATCTGCTTCAATGGTAATGAAACATGAGCAAGGAGTATAAACATACTTAATTTACAAGAACATAAAACTGACCAGTTGCACTTAAGGTGCAGCGATTGGTTTAATGAGATAATAATGTTACAATTGTATGTTCTTCGTTACTGATTTATCCACAATTGGTAGACAGGTGTGGGTAGTAAATTGTTATCATGATAAGTCCCGTTAGAATAATGTTAAATTTGGAATCTACAAATATGACATTTTGCTGTTTGGAATGAAAATATTTACATCAAATTATTATTTAATTATATCATTTATATAAAATTATTATCTCATATCATTATAAATCAATTTATTCAATTGGAAACACATTAAATTAATACATTTTCTCTGATAGGAATTTCAATATGCATGTTTAGTCAAATACACTACAGGTACTGCTGCATCAGGGATGGCAGAGCCAATGGAACACAAAATGACATGATTCTGACCTTTTTCATTTCATCTACATTCATGAATCTTATTACTTGGGAGGTGATAATAAAGAATAATCATACTGTATTTATTTAGCTGGGAATCATACACAGCTAGTTGTAAAAGTGGTTATATCAAACCAGTTATACTTATGTAAACTCGTGGGCTTACCAAAACTAGTGAGTACAACACTTCCATTGTCCATGGTGTGTCTGGTCAGCGTGTGGTCGAAGTCTGTCACTATCTGCAGCTTGTTGTGACCATCATGAATCATCTTATTCAACTTCTGCAACAACTCCGCCTTGTCCCGGATATGGACATTCTCTCTACTCAGTGCAGATATTTTGTTCAAACTCGATAAAGATGCCATAGCTGTAACAAACGTACGTAAAGTCATAAATAAAACAGCTGTTACGTTAATACTATAGTGAAGTATAATGAATTAACTCGTAGTACGATACATAAAATCAAACATAAAACGTATGTATTCCTAACAAATGAGATAAGCACCTGCTAAAAATGTCACTGAACTCAATCACCAAGTGTCGTAACTAAAGATAAAATAATGTATTCACACAGAAATTAATAAATAACGTTATCATAAGAATAAATGTAGCGGAATAAGACGAACAACCCACGTTCGACCTTGGTGCTTGGTGTCACGAAAACTGCTGTTTGAGGGACAGAGGGACATCCGAGATATGCTGTCAGCTGTCAATGCGTCTTGTTGTCATGTGACTGTCAATATCAACTGTTAGAATGAGCTGTCATGTCAGTCAGCTGTGTGTTTCATAGATATATAATAGGTGTGTTTACCTGTGTATACAGATAATAAAAACTGATGAGAAACTGGCTCGTTGATATGCAAAAAGCGAAATCTCGGATTCTTTCATTCCCATTCAAATATAGACAAACATATAAATATATTTTATTACGGAATAGGGCAGCAAACGAATAGATGGATCACCTGAAGGCAATCCATTGGCGCCGCCCATGGACACCTACAACATCAGATGAGTTAGAAGTGCGTTGCCGGCCTTTTGCGAGTTAAAGATTTGAGGATTAAAGAAGACTGGGAGGAGGCAGTTAGACCTCCAGCAATCTGACTCATACTTATTCTTGACCAGTATTTTGTGAATAATATTATTTCATCAGAATTCAATATTAATAGGGAGCGACCAGTGTCACAAACTCCATGTTCAATTCAAGCAAACGTTCGATCAGTGACACCAAATGAGGCTGTTTGTTAATATTTTTATTTTTTTAGTCATATAACTTAAATGCTGCGTTTTCATTTATTAATTACGTACTATATGTACCTTTCTGATAGGACGTAAGGACACAAAAAGATTACAGAGTGAATGATTAAAAATTATTTTATTTGCAAAATGCCATCTACCTAGCCTAAGCGACGACACGTAGATGTCACAAGTACTTGCACATAATTTATTCTAATGTAACTTTCACTTTTGCCACTACGGTAAAACGCAACAGGCTGACGGCATTCAGATGAAGGTAGTTTCGTAACATGCATTTGAGGGATTACCATTTTTATTGGAAGATAAAAAAGAGGTAATTATACTTTGTTCAACCCAAGAATTTCGAACCTTACTCAGCTACCGTATTTATGATCATTTCACCAACAAACTATAATAGTCATTCTAAATTTAAATAAAAAACAGTTTTTTCAAAATATTTATGTAATATGTATTTATATTTTTGTTATTTTTTGCTCTTCAATATCACAAAAGTATACAAGATTTACATTCGTTTAGGTTACAAATTATGCTTTAAAAGTATATTAACATTATTAATTACATGTAAACAAAGTTATCAGCTTCAACAAGCACATGTAGCCACAGGGAATGTCTAACAGTCGTCAAGGTATGAAGATGAACTGCCACTGTGGACCAAACACATTGTGGAATATTTAATATATGTATAAAGAAAGCATTCATAAAGTAGGTTAAGATATATCTATGAAATAATATATTTCCACAATGTGTCTAACATACTTTTGTAAAGTATTTTAATTGGGGCAAGAGAAACAGTGTGTAACATTTACTATGTTACATACAAGTTATCGCAGAAGATAACAACTTATTGAAAATACTATAAGGTTTATAGAAACTGGGATTTTCTTACAACAGTGAAACAACAAGTTTCGTAGATGAAACATAACTAAGGTACTACAACCCAATAACAATGTCTATGATTAATGTAAATATTTCAGTATTTGATTACACTAATAAAATATAAATTAATTCATCTACTATACACAATCGTTTATAAATCAGAACACGAATCATTTACAAATCATAACCTATCTAGTTCAACCCAGTCCTATTAAATATTCAAAATCCTTGCTTGATAAACTATGCTTTGGTCGTCGCCAAGGTTGCCACACGTCAAAAATGGAAGTTTTTTCTATGCACATGGATGTGCCCAAAAACGTTGGCGCCGGAAATATAAATTTAAAATAAGATGGTGAAAGAGAAAGCTCTATTGTAAACAGACTACAGAAGTACTAGAAGACATAAATGTCTAATTCGTTTCTTTTTGTATTTGCGAAAAGAATAAGCAACCCACAGGCACAGGTACAATGTTTTTTATATGCATGATAGAAAAATATAGCATGCATTAATAAATTATGGACGGTTGTTCAAATAAATTCATAATTTACAGTTATTTTATCGAGTAAACTTTAACTTAAGATAATATGTCACAACTTTAACACGCTTTTATTGTAACTGCAACAACCTTGACAGACGTTTATATACCAGTTCATACATTTATCTAAGAATAAAAATCTTAACGTGAATTTACATTGATTTTTTATTCTTATTCTTTAAAGATACATATGGTACCTATTGAAAGATATTACCCATTATTTGTGATTCCTCAGAATAGTCCAACAACCCGAACTTAACCTGATAGAAAAACTATAAACATAAAAACCTTAACTACCTATGTTGTGGTAAGTGTCTATTGCACAAGTGTTCTATAAAGTAGTATAAGCAGATGTAGATAAAGTAAGTGACCCTTTACTAGGCAAGGAAGCAAATTCAAAAGTTAATTTGCTGACTTACATTCAGTGCTTGTTAAGATTTAAGATAAAAAGCGGTAAAAAATAACATACCAAGCTACAATATTATTTCACAACTCAAAAACTAATTCACTTTATACAAATAAACAAATTATTATATTGTACAGGTAACTAAGTTAAATAAGTTCGTTATTTGGAGACAATCGGGTGCAACTTACAATTGAATTTAATTGATCCCATTCCATAAATGACTGTCTAGTGTTTAATTAAATACCGTGTATTGTAATTAAATGTTGGCAAGCGATTGTCTCCAAATAATGCTCGAAAGCCGCTCGCCACTAGCCAGTTAGCCGTTGTTTCGTCAGTCGTCGCTGATCCGTCGACCTTTTTTGGTCTTTTTCTTCTGCATAGCCTCCATCCTCATGTCTTCTAAGTCTTCCATAATACCTGAGAAGAGAAGGCAAGGTTAATAGGTCAAAATCAGGTATATGATGACGGCGGGATAGAATACTTGTGTCACCACGTTGGTGTTCCCGTGGATGTTACAAGAGCTGGGTGCTTACTCTTGAATCCAATTCCGATCGATCGACATTGGTTTTGTGAAATTTCGTACTCTTGAGTTGCAACACTAGCGCCCATTGCATCCGTATTGCGTGGATATTTAGTGAATTAACGTTATTGAGTTAGGCTCTAAATTCTATACTCTGAATGCTATTTTAATAGCTACGATAAGGGTTGTATAGTTTTGACATTGAATAATTATTGAGATTTTACGCGAAGTTTGTGAAAAAACCTGATGACTAGAACCATAAGTAAAGCATGAACTATTGTAGACAGGTGATAATAAACTAAATGGAATGGAAATGAAAAAAAAAAGATTCTATTGTTCTGACGTTCAAAAGTGCCTTCCTGGTTTAATTGAAATAAATGATTTTGAATTTGACTTTAAAGGAATTATGTTTTTACAATAATTCCAGAATGTGTTTTAACCTGTGGTATCACACATCTACGCGAGACATAGCGTTTTCGATTGTGTCTCATATATTGACACTCAAGCGATTAAGGGTACCGAAGTAAGAAATATAGGTAAGGTAAAGAATTGCATTTGACAATTTAAATTTATATTTTTAAATATAATTTAAATTTCTATTCTAGAAAATTCCATGGTAGCATTTGTTACCATACATATGTACAAAAGGCTGTTATCACAATTGCAGTAACAGATTAAAATAACGCGTAGTACGTCAATCTCAGTGAAGAGTCCATGTTGTTATGTAACATTAATTTTCGCGGGTTAGGTAATTCGACATAGTGGCCATAACAGAATTTAATTTCTGTTTATTGCACAATATTAAGACATACTTATGTAATTTTATTTTTACTATGCCGACTGTATGTCACATACAGACCTGTATGGACATGTTAGTACCTGTTTTTTCTTTAATTTGATTGTGGCATAGTAGTCATTTTTTTAAGTGTATCAAAATAAATTAATGAAGAAAATATAGGCTACAAGTACAACCCTATAAAATGTCTTAGTGACTACATAATGCACCAGACACACTCCAGTGGCAATGCTGTTATTTAATAATACTATCAGGAAACACCAAGGTCAAAATGTGTTTGATAAGAACCCTAATGGGTTGTCAATGGGACGCCGATAAGCAACCTTATAACATTGACATAAAGGTATTATTTGTTAGGTAGAAGGATAGGTAACAAATATGTTTTCGTATTATTCTTGCAAGTAATAAAAATACTAGTATGATAGAGACAGCAATAGATACATACCAATCTTTTTACTAATGTACTCCTCGCGTTGTTGTCGCGCAAAACTGGACTCCATGGTAGGATCGTCATCATCATCCATGTCTCGATACCTGAAAAATTATAAAAATCAATTAGAAATATAATTTGCTACTGCGCCATTTCACAGCCTTACAGCCTACAAACCTTCACAACCTATTATCGGCCTCATCGTTCGCTTGATAAAATTGACGTGTAAAAGTGCTACCTTGTAGCCTATTTGCAGAAAAAAATCACTTCTTTCACTTATTATACTAATACAAAAATTGTTACGAACAAGTAGCACCGGAGATTAGCGCGTTATTTTTATAACTAAATCAATACTGATCTTCCAGAGTCATGTCAAACAAAATTGTGATTTTTTTCACATAATATCAAACCATTCACTGACTAGCTTCTGCCAGCGACTACGCCTGCGTTCTCGTGGCATAAAAAGGCCTATGTATTATTCTAGTCCAGTGTTTTTCAATCTTTCTGATTTCGCGACCCCTTTACAAGTTGAGAAAATCTGGCGACCCCCTTGTGTCATAGAAAGACTAAGAACAAATAAAATTTAATTAAGACTACATACGTGAATGATTTTTTTTCTACTATTTTGGTACCTTTATCAATTATTCAGGTCTACTCTGCAAGAAGCTGCGAGAGTATTGAAAGTAAGTACGAGGTAAGTTGTTAAAGCTACGCGCGATATAACTCGTTGAGTACCGTCCGACCGGTGGTATCACCCAGGCCTGCACAATTGCGGCTTCCAGGAAAACCTCCCGGTCCAGCTGTCTCAGCGCCCAACGTGGATCATATGGGGCCTGTCTGACCGGCGGGTCCGCGGACTCGGTGGAGACGTTTTTCTTTCAGTCGGCGACCCCCCGAGTAAGGCTTCGCGACCCCCCTAGGGGTCGCGACCCACAGTTTGAAAAACACTGCT